CCTCCTCTCTTCTCGCAGTACTGGGATAAGAATCCCAGGTGCTTTGCACTGAACTACATCCCCACCCCTTTTTTTACTTTTATTTTTTTGTCGTGAGACAATCTCATCAAGTTGCTAAATTGCCAAGCTGGGCTTGGACTTATCTTCCTGCCTCAGCCTCCCAGAATGGCAGGGTTTCAGGTGTGCACCACCATGCCTGGCTTGTTTTTCTCATGCTGCAATATTGCAGTCTCTAAAGCCGTTTTTATTTGCATACCTAATTATCACAGTATAACTGCTAACTATATGTATTTGAAAAATCATTCCTTAGAGTAAAAACAAAACCCAGGAATAAGATGGTGATGGGAGTAGCATTCTGTCTTGACTTTCCCACAACAAAGCGTGAGGTCAGAGGAAGATGTGTGGGTTCAAGATCCATGCCTGCAGCAGGGTAGGGAGAAGGCAGAGCTGAGCCCAGGTAAAGCTGAGAAACAGGCAGGGTGTCTACTCTCTCAAGTGCCATCCTGCCTTAGAGGACCTCCTCTTCTGCTGCCCTCATGGTGCCTCCTGGCCAGCAAGCAGCCCCTGTCCAATGCCTGGGCCACGATATACCTGTCTCTCTCTCTTTGCACTGAGTTTGGTTAGACCTGCCCATCTTGTCAAGCCTCTGACTTCTTTTGTGACCTCAGTGTCACTGTAACCTCTCAGGGACTCTGGTCTTATTATATTCCATGGACTTTTGGCTCTAACGTTCAAAGATGAGATTAAAATCTTTGCTTTGACACAGGAAAGCTTTCTAAACTGCCTGTTTTCACATGTATAAAATGGGGCTAGTAATGACACCTACCTTTTGGAACTATTCATGTTTTACATAGAATACTATCTGGCACATGGTATGCACAAACAACAAAAAAAGTGGAAATATGAATATGTTACCTACATATTACTGACTTTTTAAAATGTATCTGGTGTCTTCTTTCAGCCAGCCTGCCATGAAATGGGAACCCAAGGAAACCCTGGCCACATCACTTGCTGGTCTCTTCCTCCACCATTTGAGGAATTTTGACTCAACCAAAGAGGCCCCCAGAGTTTTCTTTCCCTTCAACCTTCTCATGGTTCTGCCTTGTAGCGCTACACACTCAGTGATGAGCCTGAGAGGCTCACAAATCATTGTACTTTGAAGTTATGAACTCTCAGGGAACAAATGCTAAACCATGGAATTTTAGCATCAAACTGTTGTTCGAAAGCTACAAATAATTTTCAATCTCTCTCAATACTTAGAGGCTTAGAGTCACCTAGGGGCATACAAATTCTCCTTTAAGGCAAAATGTAAAAGAGATTTCTACCCATTCTTTCTGGAAAAACAGACAGCAATATAGCTGTTTTAAAAATGAAGGCTTGGGTGGTTCCATGGTAAAGTGGTTTCCTAGCATGCACAAGGCCCTGGGTTTGATCCCAAGCACATATATGCATATGCACATGTGAGAGGGGGAGAATAAGAGGGAGGGGGAGAGAGGAGAGAGCATGAAGATTATATGGTTCGGGGTGTAAGTGACATGAAATGTCCTCTATAAGAATTTAGGCTGTTTTACACGTGAAGTGGCATACTGGTCACCAACTTGTCTGAGTCCTGTGAAACAGCAGACCCTACATGCAGTTTACAGGAAGTGGGCTGAGTGCTTACAGCCAGGCAGCAGGAACAACTGAAGCATCAAAAGCCAGTTCTCCAAAGATCTTCCCAGGCAGAGAAAAATCTCTTCATCATGAGCCTCCAAAAGCAGGCAGGCTGGGTTCCGTGCCCTAGAGTCCCACAGTTCACTAAGGCATTAAAGGTCATCTTGTTTCTGGGAAAGGGGAGGACTAGAAGAAGATCCAGCTTGTCCTAACCAGTTCTGCAATTATTCTTGCGAACTTCGAGGAAGGGAGGAACTCTATTAGTGCTAGGCCGGTGTAGAGCCATCCTGTGCCATGCTTATACTATATAATACGTTCTGAGGAGTGTGTGTGTGTGTGTGTGTGTGTGTGTCCACATATAATACAAATAGGACATCAGGAGTGGACACTCCAAAATCAGGCCATTCACCTTACACTGAAGAAGAATCTGGCAAAGATTGTGCCTCCTGAAGATCAAAGCATAGGGCCTCGAGGCATTTTAGTTTGGGCAGTGCAGTTTCACGACCATTCTATCTGACTTAAACAAAAGAATGAGGTCTAAATTATTTTGTTTAGTGTGGAAAGTAAGGTTCAAGAGGGTTTGGATAGTAGGTTAAAAAAAAATACATGAAAGAATGTCTTAAAGGATATGCAAGGGAAGGGTGATCTACAAGATCTAAGAAACTGATAGGTGTGGGGGTGTATGTAGAGATTTGTTGTTCACCATATGTTTTTGTAATTTTTATTTTTAAATTTGATTTAATATTTATTTATTTATTTTGAGACAGGGTCTCACTCTGAAGTTGAGACTGACCTGGAACTCACTATGTAGCCCAGGCTGGTCTCGAACTCACAGTGATTCTTCTGCCTCAGCCTCTCGAGTGCCGGGATTACAGGAGTGCACCACCATGCCCGGGTGTACATTTTTATTTTTTAAAAGGAGGTACATGTAGAACTCGCACTTCAAAAAATTAATGTGGCCATTTTGTAGTCACAAGTTGGTGTGGCCTAGAATTACTAAGGCTGGTTTATAGCTATATTTCCCTTCTTGACTCCTCTGAAAGCAGTAATTCACTATTACTCCCCCAGCCCACATCGCTGCTACACACACAATAATAGAGGCCCATTCACTTGTGCTGCCACTGACCCCAGCTATGACTCAGCAGGGTGTGTTGAGACTGAGCAAGAATGCTGGCCTTGCCTACAAGAGCCGGGACTATTTAACAGGAGACTGTCCTGGTCAGAGTGTTGTAGGACAGTGGTGGTGACCCTATGGTGTGTGCTGCAGTGGCCTCTCCGCTGGCATGCAAGCCAAATCACCCCAGCATCAGCCCAGCAGCCGAGCCTGGGATAGCAGCGCACATGGAGGCCTTGTGCATGCTCAGGAAGGAGTAGCAGCACCACGCTATGACCTGCGTCACACACTGCAACTCATTAGCCTGGACCCCTCTGAACTTTCCCAGGCCTGGTCGGTATTCAGGTTCAATTGCCGTGTTGGCACGTGGCAATGAATAAGTGGGTTTTGGGTGGCAGTTGGAGCACTCGGTCTCTAAAAGGCTTGTGAGCCGGGGATTTACCTCAGCGGTTCGGTGGCCTGCCTTGCAAGTGCAAGGACCTGAGTTCAATCCCCGGTACCAAAAAATAAATAAATATAAATAAATAAAAGGCTTATGATTACTCTTCTAGGCATTGTGCTGCAGCCTGTGACTCTGCTGTTGTCCTCTTTCCTTCCCCTTCTCCTCGGAGACCAGACTGCACCACAGCCTGTAGAGTGTCCCTACCTTCTTCAGCATCCCTTATTCTTCACCGCTGTTGGCCCAATAAACCCCTTGCACATCAAGTCCCACCCGGATGCATTCTTCTCCAAGGACCTGAACTAATAAACTGTACACTGCATTGGCTCAGAGCACTCGATTTACTCTGAATCCCAGCTCTGCATGACCTTGGGTAGCCCTCTCTGAGCCCTGACTGTACAGTACTTACTGCTCGGAGCTGTTATTCAGAAAGGATGATCCTGGCCCTGCTGCTGGGATCTCTGCCCTGCAGCAGTGTGCAATGGTTTAGGAAGTGTCTGACACACCTACCTGCCTAACTCCATCCCTCCGCCTGCCAAGAAATAGCTCCCTATCGTTTCTGCCACTCCTTTGGGTGAAGATGTACCCTGGACAGCCCTGGTTCCAGGCCTAGGTTGGCCACTCCACCAACAGGCTCTCCATAGTTCATCTTTCTTTTCAGCTATTTCTTTTATTTGTGAATTCAGGAAGTTGAACATCTCTTCCTGGAGGCTGGATTTTAGCTTTAGCTCCAAGATTCCACGAAAGGTAGTACTCTCCAGAGGCAAATTCCATTTTCTACTCTCTCCAGTGTCGTGTCTCATTGGCACTGCTTTCTGCTAGGCCCTGAGTATTCAAAAGTGAAAGAGGTCTCTGCCCCTGACAAACATGTCCATAGAAAATTCCAGTACAATGAAGGTTTTGTGACCTGGAGATGAAAGACTTCCACCTTATCATTACTGACATTTCATAATGGGAAATGGGAGAGGTGCAGGGAATAGTTTCCTGATCAGGGTTGGCTCAAAGAGGAAGATCAGCATGTTTCAATGTTCCCTAGCTGGGAATAAAAATAAAAGGAAACTGTTTATTTTCATTGAGAATAAGAAACTGAAAACTCTGGAGGTTAAACAAATAGAAAGTTTGTTTTTCTCTTTTAGGCTATGAGGCCAGTTAATGATTAGTGAGTTCCCAGGGGGAATTCTTTGAAAGGCTGGGGTGTGTGATCTCTCTGGCCTTAGCAGTCTGCTGCTCACCAGCTCAGAGACCTCCAGCTCAGCGATGCCCAGGAGCTGCTGGGAGAGAAGTTTCTGGCTGTGGTGGCTCCTTCTGTGGCTCAGCCCTCGGAGTGCAGGTAGGCAGTGAGCTCCGGCCTGGGGTAGAACTCATTTCAGTCAGTGACTGTATTTCTTCAGCTGTCTACTCATGCAGTCCTAACGGTTGGAAGGTCCCCTAAAAGTCCTTTGCTTCTCCCCAGGTGAATTTAAAAGAGGGGGAAGAAAACCCCTATTATCATAATGGGAACAATGGTAAACAAGATGCTTACTTAGGTAACAGAAATTGAACTTCCCTTGGTTGTCTGACTCATTTTTCTAAAACTTGCATTTCAGTCCTTTTCATCTCGCACAAGCCAGGATGACTAGAAGAAAACATAATTGATTAATTTAAAAATATTCATTCTCACCTCATAAATACCAACTGTTCCAAGATATATTTCATTTTAACATTTAAATTTTCTGGACCAATGACGATTCTGTCCTAGAGATTGTTAGATGTTCTTTCTCATTTTGCCAACCCAACTCAAGTTCAGATCTGTCATACCCTTTGGTTGGATTACCAAACCAGTCCCTGCTAGCCACAGATGCCCATTAGAACAACTTTCCTTCAATGCCATTTGCATTGTATTTTTCCCCCTGGTAAAGAACCTGCCCGTGGTAACTGCTTGCTTAATATACCAAATTAGGGCACACACACACACACACACACACACACACACACACACACACACACACACACACACACACACACACACACACACACACACACACACACACACACACACACACACGCACACACGCTCATCCTTCTCACCCCACCAGAGGCAGCAGCAGCTGCCCCAGAAAGCCCCCTGATAGCAGACTGCTTCTGCCTTCTCTATTGACGCCCTGTGCTTCTCATCCCTCAGCTTTAGAACATGCAGTCCCTTTGCTTGGAGTTGGGTTATTCTGTTCTTTGCGTCTTCCAAGGGAGCTTCCTGCCTCCTCTTTATCCCTCACGCAGCACTCTTTCCTGGCTCTGAAGTCCAGCTCATGAGTGTGTTCTCACCCTGCACCCTGGGTAGCTTGTCAAGGTGCTGAAAGCAGGCTTTCTCCTTCCTGTCACTTGTAGTCCCAAAGTGAGGATGAGTGGCTCTTGCCTCTTAGCACAGGTAGCCGTGTGTTGGGCATACAGCAGTAGGTTAAGGAACGCTGCTGCCTTGCACAGGGGAGGCAAGGTGTTGAACATCTTCCTTCTTATCTGAACTGAGTGTACTGTCTATAGTGATAATGTTCATTAAGTTAATGTTTTCTGTCCTTTTGAAAGTGTTATTTTGGAATTAATGAGTTGGTGAAGAGGCAGAGATAGCGACTTGGTGAAATGAGGTGGTGGTGGGAGCAAGATGTAATTGCTTTTTAAGGCAGACCAAGGGAAGTAGGTGAGAAGGCAGAGACTGCTGGAGGCAGAGAGATTAAGGTAATGGAAAGGGAGAGAACAGCATGGAGGTTAGAGAGGCGCTGGGTGTCTGCTGGGCAAGAAGACCCCTCGCTCCACCGGGCGGCAGCTGGTTTGGTGGGCTGTGGGAAGGTGACCTCTGCTTGCTTCTCTGGTTGGGTGCCTGTGCCTTTCAGGGCCACCCAGGTCACAGACAGTGCTTTGCTTGGATGGTGGAGGTCAAGACAATAGAGCCTTAATCAAATTGACATTGTCAAGAGACCACTGCTGGGATAGGAAACAAATTTCTGGATCCTTAAGCTGTTGTTCATTAAAAAGCATGATTTGTATTTTCTTCGGAGGCAGCCAGAAACTTTTAAAAGCTTTTGATAAGACCATGGCTCTTCTTCACGCAAGCCTACAAATGCCCCACAGGCAACTGAAAACTTTAGACATAGATCCATTACTCATTAGGAAATGCCAATAGAAAAAGTTAATTAGGCCTAGCCCATCTCATCCCCTTTTCATCAAGAAGTCAAACAACAAATGGGAGCAAGGATACAGGGGGAAAGGAGCACTTTTACATCGTTGAAGGGAATGTAAACTAGTACAGCCACTGTGGAAATCAGTATGGAGATCCCTAAAAAAAATGAGCAGAATTTAATTCCACCCAGCCATTCTCTTCTAAGTGTCTTTCTGCAAGAGTTTAAGACATATTATACTGATATATGCATAATCATATTTATAGCAGCAAAATTCATCATAGCTAGATTCTGGAAGTGGCCTATGTATACTTCAAATGGATGGATGGAGAAAATGTGGTATTTATACACAATGAAATGGTATTCTGTAAAGAAGAATAAGTTTGAGTCATTTGTAGGAAAATGGATGCTCCTTGGGACAATGATGTTAAGTGAAATAAATCAGACACACAAGCTTAAATGTCACATATAATAAATTAACTAGCAAAGTAAAAGATAGATAATAAGAAACAGATCAATCTTTTGCAAATGGGAAGGGTACCAAGAGATAGAGGAGTAAGGAGAAGAAAAAAGAATTAATATGTGTTATGTATATGTACCTGTAGGTGACCCTGTATACCTGTGGGACCTTGAACCCAGAGCCACGACTTTGTTCCTCCCAGGCCTGGGGTGGGGGTGGGGGATGAAGAGGATGCATAATAAAAAAGACACGGAGTCAGCTCAAAATGAGGGCAGCTGGAAGGCTTGCACCTCTAGCAGGCAGAGGAAGCCTGAGCCGTTGGCTTACCTCGCCTTTATTCATTTTTTATTTTATTTTATTCACAGGCACAGGCAATAAAAGTAATAGGGGATTCATCTGGTTTCCAATATCCACTAGTTCATTCTGTGGTAAACAGCTTAACCTCAACTTCTTGACCTTCCCCTAATGTGCCGTCAGCCCTGAGTGCAGCCTTTCTCCTTTGTGCTCACAGAGGAGGCCAATTAGGCCTTAATTCTCCTCTGGTCCTTAACATGTACCAACTCCCCACAATGAATGTGATATTACGTACTATAAATATGTACTAATAAACATTTTATGGACATATAATGTGAATTCACTATATATAGTATATTTTCCTTTTGTAATATGTGCACATAAATATAACTGTGTGCTCCTGCAAGTGAATCTTTCTGTATTAATATATAGAGATATCTAATTCTCTTTAATGTTTGTTTATACATTATATACTGGATCTGAAAGAACTTACATATTTTTTACATAGGTGAGAAAAATTGCCTTGCAGAAGTTATGATTATTAGTATTTTGAGCATGGCTATTTCTTCACCTCTCTGTCAATACTCTGTTAAAATCAACATTCTTAGTACCATCAATCTGATAGGAAAAATAATATTACCTTTTTGCTTAATTCTTACTATGGGGGTTCAGGGGTGCCTGTGTGGCTACCTTCCTGGTGCTGGAGGGATGGCGGCTCCTGGCAGGAGAGGGCGTGGCTATCCTTCCGGGGTGGGTCTGGGCCCAAGCAAGCCCTCCTGGCACTGGAGTGATGGTGGCCCCACAATTCTTACTATGATAAGGTTTAATGTCTTCTTCTTCTTCTTCTTCTTTTTTTTTTTCTGGTACGGGGGAATCAAACTCAAGACCTTGTGCCTGTGAGACAGGCAGCAGCACCACTGAACTAAATACCCAACAGTTTAACATCTTTTTATGCATCTATTGGCCATTTTCAATTGCTTGCAATTAATTGCCAGCTTATGCCCTTTGCTTCTTTATTTACAAGGACTTTTCCCCCTCACTGAGTTAGGGCTCTATAAAAATTAGCCTTTTGGCAGATGAAGTTCAAATGCTTCTCACCTGTTCTTTCCCCCAGACACTTCCTCATTTTCTGAATCACCCAGCTATCGTGTGACTCTAGTTTCAAGTCCTGAGTGAGTCCGAGCCAAGCTGGTTCTTTACTTATCTTGCCAGAAAGTGGGCCTGCGTGGTCCTGGCCCAAAGACCTGCTCCCAGAAGACCAGGCATACGGTGGGCTCTTGCTCTGCAGGTATGTAGGCCTCTTGGATTAGGATGAGGCCTCTTTTTCAGTTTGCTGAAATCCTTGAGCCTCTTCAGACTCCCGAGTTCAGTATCCCGTACCCTCCTTTGTTCAGAAAACCTCACTCTGACCTGCACAACCTCACCCAGGTCCTCGGCTCCCTCCTGCATGTGCTGTCCTCACCCTGACACCCTTGGAAATCCCCAGACCTGCCATGGCCTTTTCTCCTCCCGGTTCCCTCCAGGTACCTGCTATCTAGAATGTCCATGCCTCCCCGCTGGGGTCCTCCCAGCACCAGGCTCTTGGTCCTTCACTCAAAATCTGGCTCCTGCTCCATGTGAAGGCAGTGTCCACACCCGCTGGTTCGATGACGTTCCCAGCTGGAGTGCGGTCTCAGCGAGGGCAGGGTTATATCGTCATTCTTACATTATTGCCTCCATGTCACAAGCTAAACACATGGCGAACTCTCCAGCATCTTGATTAAATCTACCCACGCTGGGAATCGGTCGGTCGTGAGCATCAGAGGAAACACATCTTCACATCACAATTGAACGCAATTTCCTACTCTTTGACTGGAGAGCCTCTCATGGCTTTCTAGAGGGCATTGGCTGATACAGTCACAAAGCAACTTGGTGATCTGCAAAACTTCACCAACCAGAATTAAAGGAGGCTGGAACAAAGGCAGAAAATACTGTGTATGCAGAGGAAGGTGCTGGGAAAGCAGATGGAAATACCTTTCATTCCCCCGTGTGTCTGTACCAAGAATTCCTTGCAAAAAAGGAGGGAGACTGCCCCCACTGGCCCTTCCGTGACTGCCACGCTTGTTACCTGCCAAGACTTTTGTCTTTCTCCCAGACACCCTTTGCCAAGGCCTAGAACCCTGTTTTCCCAAGAGGAAAATTGAAGACAAGTAATACTGTGCTATGCAGGCATGTCCCCTGGGCCACCAAGGAATTTCACTGACAAAGAGCATGGCTGGTGAGTGTGCATGTGGCCCAGGATGAGAAACATAGCCTCTCTCCCGCTGAACAGCTGAGTAGTGGGTCCTCTGATCCTTAAAACTCTCCATGTATAAGGACCTTGTACTCAGGACCAGTGGCCATCCTGGAGGGAAAATTCTAGTCCTCAGAGCCTAACACCTCATCTGG